TATTTATATTATATTTTTCAAAAAATGTATTAAACCAAAAGTATATAAATAATTTCCCTAAATAATTTATTACAATTGATGCGTGAATGAATTTTTTTTATAGATTAAAACACTAAAAAAATTGTGGTTAATACAAAAAAAAAGGATAAAAATTTGGATTATGTAATTAATAGTAGAGATAATTTTTTGCCGAACCACATGACTATGGTAGCATTTATTGATTTTATTGTATTTTTAAAATATTTACATAGATACAGTAACTAAACACAATACGATTCCAAAACCGATCTGATTTTATTGTATTTGTTTCCATATGGTTGTTGCTCATGATGATGTTTATGGTCACCTATGGGTTGGAAAGCAGAAGGGGCATAAAGCTTATAATGACAATCTACTTAGGGCATTCATTGTCCCCTTGCCAGGTAGCATCAACCATCTTTTCCATCACATGTTGCTTTAACATTTTATTTTATTTTATTTTATTAAAAAAAATTAATCCATAGTTTTAAGACATCATACGTTCATATAGTTTGAAGCAATTATCTATCAAATCATGTAATCTGCATTTCATTCCTTTTCGTCAGTTATCATATCCTAAATTAGTGAATTATGTAACATAAGATAACTATTATATATCTTTGTTTGCCTTTACTTATATATTAATATATGAATCACAAAAAAAAAAAATCAATATTTGAATTAAAATTTTCTAATTTCTTGTGTTTAGCTCCCAACCACCATGAGGTTATCATAAATTAGAACTAAATAATGAGGCCTAATTCATGCAAGTTAATATCAGGAAAGGGATAGCAACCAGCTGAGATGAGAATGGAGGAAACAAAATTAAGTACCATAGCCTTTACTCAATTCCAATGAGCAACAACAATGAGAGGGTCATGGTTTTCATTTTTTTTTGGCTTTTTAAGTGTTAATTAATAACCGTTGGCCAAAAGAAAAAGGCGTTAATTAATAATCAAAGGTTTTTATTTTCCACTAGGCTACATCCATTCGCTAGCTAACTTCAATGAAAATACTATTTTCATGCATAGACAGTGATACCAATGATAATTCTTCATTTTCTCTTTTCTTTAGTCACAAATCACAATAAAAAAAATTACCTTTGAGCCTTCAAGTTCAATGGCATCAAGTCACGTTTAAGTGCATTTTTTTTTTTCTTTAAGCAACGGTTCGAATCCGACTCCTTGCAAAATTATTCAAAAAAAAAAATCACAATAAACAAAATTTATTTTTCTGTTAAGAAAGTAGAGTGACTAACATTATATTTAATCATATGCCCTTTTTCTTAAATTTTTGTTGTCAAATTTTCTCATCTAACAAACACTAATCTTACAAATTCAAATCTCTCTTAATTATACTCTCCCCTTTTTAAATCAAAATCAAACATGAGAATCTCCCAACAAAAGAAAAAGAGAAAGCAAAACGAAAGGGGGAATCATATGCCCACCAAAAAGCAAACTATTACATTATGTTTGTTGGGGCTAAAATCCACCGTCGAACCAAAAACACCTTTCTAGAAAAAGCAGGCGTGTGTGCAAACTACAAACTTCGATAATTTTCCTCTCCCCCTTTATTTCCCTCGTCATCTACCAGTCAAAATCACCGTTACCTGTCGTTGTTGTGTTGTGACCCTGTCGTTGTTGTGTTGTGATCAGTGTTTATCTGAGTTGAGTATCTTTTATGGAAAGTAAAGCAAAAAGTAGTCACATAGAAATTAATTTTGAATTTGGAAAATGATGGAGACTTTTTTTAAAGAATTTTTTAATTTGTGTTGTAATTATAAATATATTTTTATCATAAATATATAATATAAAAATTGATATTAATTTTTATATAATTGTTAAGTAGATGAAGTTAATAGATAATTGATAAATTAAAGATTAATTTTTATTTTTTAACATAAATTTATAACAAAATACATATATGATAATATTAATATATGTTTTAAAGGTATAAAATAAAAAAAAATTATATAAAATTTTCATATAATTACCTTATATAGCATTCAATAAATAACTTTTTTATTTTATTAAAACTTATAATATTATATTTTATTTTTTAATCACAAATAAAACTAAAATACATATATGATAATATTAATATATGTTTTAAAGGTATAGAATAAAAAAGAATTATATAAAATTTTCATATAATTACCTTATATAGCATTCAATAAATAACTTTTTTTATTTTATTAAAACTTATAATATTATATATATTTATTTAATCACAAATAAAACTAAAAAATTTACATAAAAATTATCTCTATATCTTTACGTTTTAAATTTTGCTGATAAAACTCTTGAATTTAATGTTCAGACTGTCAGGATTGGATACAAAAAACTATCATTCCAAACATGACATTTCATGCGTAAATAAGTAGGCTGTTTCATCCAATTCGAAGTGAAAAACATATTTTTATAGATATTTAAATCCTGAAAAGTTTAAAAATTTTTCTGGCTTCAAGAAGGTGCTTTGACATTTTTTTTTGGGTGTGATTCACAAAAGAAATGTCTTTTTTAATTTCACCTGTATGCAGTTGGATATGTAAATATACTTGAATACTCTTATAATAAAATTCATCAACTATGTTTTTGTACTTCAATAATTCGAATTGTATTTTTTTGTGTCGACGAAAGAAACCAAAACCATTCTCTTTGTAAAAATGCACATGTAAATAAATCATTACGAAGAAACTGTTTTTAGGTAAATTAGAATTTAAAGTAATGATGGAAAATAAAATAAAAGGTTGAGCTAATGTAATTTTTCCTTCACTGTCTTTCACTCTTCCATCCTTTCTATATATATTCACTCTGTTTTCCTGAGTTCTAAAACCAGAAACAGAGCTCCATGGACGAGTCATGGCGCATACTGATGGGAATTCCGACGTTCCCACGTCGGAAATCCACGGAGACCAACACTCCAATGGGTCACATGAAGGCCCCTCTCTTTTTTGGCTGTTGCGCCACCGAGACTCTGGACGCTGATGACTTCTCCGACGTCTTTGGTGGACCGCCAAGGATTAGGGGCATTTTGAACCGGAATTTCTCTGGCGACTTCATGCGGTCACCCTCGTTTTATGAGGAGGTTTTCAGCCTACCGGATTTTACAACTCGCGCCTTGAAGATCGGCAAGAGCTTGCCCTCCTTCAGGATTCCGGCCAGGAACGAGGGGTTCTATAGTGACATTTTTGGGTCGTATAACTATGTCAGTAGATCGCGAGATCGGTCACGGTCCAACTCGAAGACGAAGTCAAACTCAAATTCTTCGTCAGCGCTGAGTTCGGAGGAGCTGAGCCCTCTCCGACCACCTGCCGGAGCTGATGTGGCGCTCTCATCCTTTGCTTCAAAGCTCAGGTAGGTTACCTGAGAAACGATTCATGGTTCTGTTTAGTTTAGTCGCTTTGAAGTTTGAACTGCCTACAGATAATACTCAATATCTAATAATTGATACAGTTTGAAGTATAAACAATACTTTCCACTTTAGGTAAACTATACATATCAGTCATACATTATCAGCTAGAGTTGTATCTGTTTAACAGTTAAACTCAACATAGCCTTATTGTTTTTAACTATTTATTGAATTTCACAGTTATATCTACTTTAGGCATGGAAGGAATTAACAATCCTACAGAAATCTTAGATTTTATTTTATATTATTTTTAATTAGAAAACTTGGGGTCGGGGAGTGAGTGCATAACTTTGAACTCAAGATTTCGATGTGCTAAACACGGTTCTTCTTAAGAGATAACTACTAAATCAATCAGTTATGAACAAAAATTTTAGAATTCTAGAAACAGTAGAGGAAGTTTAGTTTGGTAATTTAAAAGTTTATATATATTTTACTCATTTGAATTATTCATCTCGACCTCAAATTAAATATAGTTTTATTATTAATGAATAGTAGCTCTTGCTTTTATTAGGAAAAAAAAAAAAGGATCTTGCTAGTAATTTAGATTATTTTTTTCTCAGTCTAAGGCATCTTTTGATTTGTGTTGCTATATAGGCCAATTAATGTTCCCTGCAGATGGAACTCTAATGAACAACAGAGGAAAGAGGGGACTATGCCGGCCTTCCCCTGCAACCAGTTCATGGAAAACGAATACGAACCCAATTTCAGAGCTTCCTACCATGAATTCACTCGACGTACCTGCTCACCGGAAACCATTAGCTTAGAACGCAATTCCTTCCAAAGCATCAAAGTATCTACGGATGATTTTGTAGTGCTCAATTCCCCTCCATTCCCTACTTCCCCTGCTTCCTCTGCCTCTTCACTCTGTCAAGAATCAGAGGCCAGATCTAGTGTTCTGATGCAAGATCAGGATACTGAGCTAGAGGATGATGAAGATATGAGTTCTTATGTGATCGAGATCAAGTCTGAATACAGGGAAGTAACCAGTGAAGCTGTTTCTATTGATGAAGCAATTGCATGGGCTAAAGAGAAGTCTCAGACACAATTTTCTCCTAGACGACATGAAGAAGAACACTCTGGTCAAGCAGGTGGGATCAATCAGCAGTGATAACTTCTAGTTTGATCTGAAACTTTTTACGAGTAGAGAAGATCGATTCACGAGATGATTGATTCCTCTTTTCTTTTGTGTGTTTGCATGTTTTTGTAATTTTGCAGGAAAAACAAGTGGTAACGGACATCAGTTTCTGGACCAAACTCATGGAAATGGGACAAAGAAATCTCCATTCATGGTAGAAACCTAACATGAAAATACTACCCTAGATTGAGCATTTATCTTCCTTGCGTACTATTTACACAAAATCTTAGACTGCAAGGTAATATAAAGAAAAAACGTTGAGCCATTCTTGTTTCTTTGCAGGAAGGAGAACAGAAGTGGAAATCAGAAGAAAAGGAGCTGTCAAAGGAACAGGTAGGCTCTTTCTGTTACTGTAAATGAATTTCCCATGCCATATGCCACAGAAAATTGGGAAGAAAAGCCTAGTGGACCATCCATCCAACAGTTTGAGAACGAGTCTTTAAAGTTAGAAGTGTCACAATCAAACGTCAACACAAAACGAAAGAAAAGGACAACAAGAACATCAAAATTACGGACCTTGTGGTCCCTTTTTATGTTTATAACATGATTTTGATGAATACATGCATAATTGCAGATGGAAATGGAGCTAATGGATGAAGATATAAAGCGATGGTCATCTGGAAAAGAAAACAACATCAGATTGCTCCTTTCAACAATGCATAATGTAAGATATCAATGTAATTTTCTAGGCATTTTACTAGTTTGCATACGATAACAATGGACTTGTAATTTAAACTAGATGATGGATGAGAATGCAGATTCTATGGCCTAACAGCGGATGGCATGTGGTCCCCTTAACGAGCCTAGCAGATGGCTTGCAAGTGAAGAAAGCTTATCAGAAAGCAAGACTTTGTCTTCACCCAGATAAACTGCAGCAGAGAGGAGCGACATTATCGCAGAAATATGTTGCAGAGAAGGTTTTTTCCGTTCTCCAGGTAAATAATCTACTTAAATTTCATAAGAAATTGAAATAACGAAACTCTAACATAGTATGTGTATTATGTGAATGCAGGATGCATGGGCTGCATTTGTCTCCCAAGATGTGTTCTTCAGCTAGGTCAAAAATGCAGCACAGTTTGAGAAAAAAATTATTGTATCTGAGAAATTTTTATATTCCTCTGCTATTCCTAGAGAAAGTAGCAAGAATTGCTATTTTGAGCTGTGTAAAAATATGGTTTTATTTTAACAAATAAAATTTCATGGTTTGTGTTTACACCATAAATTGAAATTTTATTTAATAATGTCACGTGTCATATTATTTGAATGAATGGTTATGATGAAACCACGTCAAACTTGATATTGCTGTGATCTGGAATATGACGAATTTTGTTGATGGCTGCCACATGTCTAACCAAATCTAATGTTTTTGCAATTATTTCCTATTTATTTGATGGTATTTAAAGTTAGTGAAGATTATAGCTAAATTTTAAGAGAAGTTGTAGACCAAGATTAGCTAGTGAGTGAGGTGGCAAACAAATGGTGAATTCTGAAGAGGGTTTTAACTAAGTTTACTGTTGAGTTGTTCAATTACCCCATGAAGATCTGTCATGTTCTATATAAATGGGAGTGGGTGGTTACTAGCTTCCTTAAGACATTAAAAATGAAATTTCAAAAGAAGCAAAGGATGGCCAGCCCTACACACAACTCATCTAATTCAGTTTTCTAGTTTCATAGCTACTATTCACATAGCTCAAAGATATTATTTTAACATAACTTCAAGTCAAATTTTGGTTAGTTCTAGCTTCCACAACAATCTTTTTATTTATTTAGTGACTTTAAGATAAGTGTATTTCTTTAAACGTCAATTTATATGGCTTTCAAGCTTTTTATTCATTTTCATGTTAATTTCAATCTTCTTTGCCTAATCATCATGATTACTTAGCTTTACTTTAGTTTCAAATCCATTTACTTTTCTAGTTATGCAACAATTTAGTTTAATCTACCAGTAGTTTGATAGTCAAATTTGTTAGTAAATTTAAATAAATGCTTATTCATTTCACTTGTTTCATTTATTGTGGGTCTTTAAGCTTTAAGTTAATGGTAGTGTTTTAAAGTCTTTAGGGTTGTCTAAGACAGATTTAGTAATCCATTTTGTAGGAAGTCATCCTTCCTTCTTTCAAATCATCTAAAGGCATAGATTATAACTTTAAACCAACATTCTTCAAGCCATTTGTATAGAGGTGACCTCGGGAGGAAGGAGAGGGTCATTGGGAAAATCCTCTTTTCTTGCTTTACAGAAAATGCAAGTGGCATGCCTTGCATCTAGATCTATCGTGCATGGTGCCACTTTTAGGATTTTTGAGGAAATAATCCTTTTGTGGCATGCCCTATGGGACTCTACTGTTTCTCACTTGAAGCTATCAAATCCACTTTGCACACATTCAAAGAGAAGCATAGCCATGCCGCCTATAGAGGGTGCAACATGGCTAATTGGCTACACTTCTCCTTGAATGTGTGAAGAGGACATCTTCAAGTGAGACATGGTGGAGTCCCACCAAGCATGCCAAAAAAAGATTGTTTCCTTAAAAATCCTCTCCTCTTGATTGCCTCATGGCAGAATAGTGTAGGAATTAATGCCACTTATTTTGCTCAAAGCAAGAAAGATGAATTTCCTTGACAACTCTCTTCTTCCAAGAGGTTGACCTCCATGTGGGATAACTAGAAGAATGTCAATTATTTGTTGAAGATGCTCCTTAGATCAAATCAAATGATGATGCAAGAAGGTGGGATGCTTTGTTGCAAAATAGGTTACAAACTTGCCTTGGACAAGTCTAAAGACTTCTCACATCTAAAGCCACAATGAAGTTTGTTAATTAAGTAGAGCAAAAAAGAAAGAGAGAGTTGGCAAAAAATAAAATTGCATTGTAGAACTAGAAGGCAGATTAAGGTTAGAGTGCACTATAGATTTTGACATAGCAGGCAAATCTAAGTAAATAACTACAAGTAGAATTTGAATATCTACTTGTAGATTTAACTTGTAGAAATGTAAATTTAGCACGTTAAAGATAAAATAAAACTCTGCAACATAAAGTAATGAAATTACATTAACTAAAATGAAAACTATTTACAAATTTGAAACTTGATTGCATTGATAGAATTAAAATGTGCTAATAGAACTACTAATTTAGAAGAGAACCTATGAAGGTAGAGGGATAGAACCCACATAAAATATTTTAAACCTAAAACTAGATTGCTTGAGAGCTAATCTACTAATGTAGAAGCTAATTGAGAGCTTAACTAAGGCATTTTGCAAAGTATATTGTGTAATTTTTTTTGTTGAAAGGGGTAGGCTTCCTTTGAATATGTTGTTTCTTCAAATTTGTAGCTAATGAATGCTTGAAAAATAACTTGCAACCACTCATAGCTCAACTACAAAAATGTGGTCAAAACTGTCTATTCTGACTGAATATGTTAGCAGCAGACTTGGTCAAAAATTGCTCTAGTACTCACCACTTGCCTACCATTTCACTAGATCAACATCCCACGTCTCCTATTTGCTAAGCTTGGCCAATAACTTTCCCTAAAATTTTGCCACTATCTCAACTAATATCAAATAATTCCAAAATACTAGAAAATACTTACCAATAACCATAGATCTAGAATTCCATGTTGTAGTCATTAGTAAAGCCTATTATTCTTCAGATCACGGTAAAATTAGATCTAACATGACTTAATCCTAGTCACTTGTTCAATCACATAACATGTGACACATTTAATAAATTTGCAATTTATAGTGTAAACAATTTGTAATTACCATTGAAAAAGGGGAAAGTTATGGTGAGAAGGGTTAAGGCAATTAGAAAATGCCTTTAGACGAAAAAGCCAATGGAAGAACCACAAGTAATTAAAGGAGGACCGCCTTTTCTTTTATCTCCATATTAATATCTGCCCTTCGGTGTTGGGCCATTTTCGAAGTAAGCAATTAATTTATAGAACGTCTAGTTGAATGATCTGACATGTTTTTTACAGGAGTGGAGGCACATGAAGCTTCTAAGAATTTTTAACTTTTACACCAATTTTCATTTTCATATAAGAAGTTTCTACATAATTTCATTGGATTTCCTTTTCTTTGTTCTTTACGAGAGTGTTGTTTCTTGTTTGTTTTCTTTCACTTATTGCTTATAACCAATCTTTTAGTGAGAATAACAAGTGTCCGCCTTTAATTTCTTACATCCTCACTGTTGCTTTCAGGAAGGGAATCAATTGCTGTGCAGCAAGATCACTATGGTTTTTTGCCAGCTTTCTGTTCTTTCTATTCCACGACTCTTCCAAAGGTATTCCAGTGCCTCTATTGTCCACAGAAAGGACAAGATGATGAGGACGAGGATGAGGATGCATATGATCAATGAAATTATTGCTCAACTATATCAGGAGAACCAAAATCATTGAAAGTGTAAAAATTGGATGCTAATAAAGTTACAAATCTGCGGAAGAATTAGCTTTGACATTTTTATCCATAATGTATTACAATAATCGGAAAGTAGATTATACAAACTTACAGTATCAACATTGGATGGATTTTCAAAGCCCTGATCAATGATTGCGCGCAACTGAGGGAACTCTTCCAGGGCAAATAACATAGGAGAGGTTATTATTCCCTGAAAAAAGGGGAAAAGTTCACCTTAGACATGCCATATAGGTATCATAAGCAAATGACAACATCAATAAGCTCTTGACCCTTTTATTAATCTCCAAATTTGCAACTACAAAGTTAACAAATTTATTATAGAGCTAAATTCAGATGGCTTTGTTTGACACACTATATCCTAAAAGTTGAGAGAGAGTTATTTGGACAGCCTTTTCCTTTAGAGTGTTTGAACAAGTAGTGCA